TGACTGAGATGGGTCTGAGGTAGTCCTAGTCAATGTTTGAGATAGTCAAGGATCTACTCATGTTAGTGATATGGGTTTTTTGCCCGCATAAGGTTAATGGAGAAATAAATTCTCCTTCTGGGGTTGTTTGATAAGAAATTCTTTGCTTGGGGTGATTTGTGAGTGTCGTCAAATATGGTGACGACACATTGTTAAGTGTTGGCAATCAAAATACCGACACTAATTGAAAATAATGCCATGTGACAAGGTGTCGGCTGGTTGTGGTCCGACACATGTGTGTCGGTTATATTTTTGGCAACACATATGTGTCGGCTGAAAGAATAGCGATACTCACTGTGTGTCGGTTGCTTTGACGCCGACATATATCCCGTTCACTCCTTCACCCAGTGGACAAAACAAATGACAAGCTTTTATCCAAAAGTCTTTATCAAATTAAGATGCATATATATAGGCAGACGAATGTGTATTGGTTGCAAACATTTTGAACAAGCTCCGGTAGAAGAAATTCCAGGTTAGAATGTTATTAATTTATTAGTTTTAAATTTTTTAATTATTACAAATAAGTTTGAATTAATAATTTTAATATTATTATAAAGAGATGAAATTAAAAATATTTGTAAAAAAATTAATTAAATTATTTAATGTTAATATAATATTATTGAAAATATAAATGTAATTTTTTATTTTAATTTTTTGTAATATTTTTTATTACTATTTGTTTAAGTAAACTTTTGTAATTATTTTGGCTGTATTTTTTAATTTGATACACAGGATGACTGAAATTGTGGTTATTTTATACTGGAATGGAAGAGTGTACGAAGGAAATGAGGGTATCATATTTGAAGGGAATAAGAAAATGATTAAAATAGAACGTGAAATTACTTTTGAGATGTTGAAAAAAAAAATACATACAAAATTGAGATTATGTAATAGTAATGTAATTTCTAGACTGATTTCATGAATTTTAGTTGATTCAAGAAGTGAAAACTACACAATTTTATATGTATGTAATGATGAAGACATTGACTATATGATAAGTGCTTGTCAAGAACGACATCAAAGAAATGTAGTTGAGTTATATGTGAATATTGCGGTTGGTGAAACATCTCATGTAGGTGAAACTTTTTTATGTTTAAACTTATCACTCCTAACTATTAATGTTAGTGATAATGAAGAAGAGTATACAATTGGAGGATGTAATGTATAATATTTATTTAAATTATATGATGTTTAAAATTTTATAATTTATTAATAAATATTTGCTGTTACATGTACAAATGAAGAAGATGAGTACGATGATGACTATGAAGATGAAGGAGAAATTCCTTTAGATAGTTCTTCTGATACTGATTTGGAAGATGGCTTCGATTCAATAATGAATATTTCAAATACTGAAAGAAATAACGATATGCAAGGACAATCTACAGGTATAATTTTATATAATATAATAATTGTAAAATATTTGTAACTAACATTAGTTGAGTTTAATACAGATTCTATAACACCTTTTTGGAATATAAGTTCACATTGCACTGCTATTAATTGGGAACATCCTGATCAAGAATTAGGTTTTTCTGAGTTGCATTTGTCACAATCATGGGTACAAGGAGATGCATTATATGTTGGACAACTATTTGACTCTAAAGAGGAGGTAAAAATGGCAATAAAATATTATGCAATGAAGAAACATCAAACATTTTTTGTGGTTGAGTCAAAAGCATCAACTCATTTTGTCAAGTGTATGAATCATAATTCCGGAAGTCTTTGGAAAGTAAGAGCATTGCTACCCAAAAATTCAAATAAGTGGAAAATTACCAGATGGGATGATATGCATACCTGCGTAAATACTATGATTTCTCAACACCACAAAAAGTTAGATTCAAACTTTATTTGTTCATGCATTATTGGTACGTGAAACTTAATTGAGATTATATTTGTTTGTCTATTTAAAATGATTTTGATATGATCATTAGTTGAGACGTATTGTTTAATGTTATTGACAGGTATGGTCAAAGAAGAACATTTTGTTCCCGTTTCATTAATCCAAGAGAGAATAAGTGGCCAATTTGGGTATTCAATTTCATACAAAAAAGCATGGAAAGCAAAGCAAAAGTAATTGTAACAATATTTGGTGATTGAGATGAATCTTATGCAACATTACCAAGATGGTTAGAATATATGCAATTACATGCTCCAGAGTCAGTTTACAAAATTGAGACCAATGATTATGTGAGGGGTAATGTAATGGATAATAGATTCAGAGTCTTTCATAGATTATTTTGGTCGTTTAGGCAATGTCGTGAAGCTTCAAGTTTTGCAAGCCTATGATCCAGATAGACAGTACTTTTTTGTATGGTAAGTATAAGTAAACATTGCTAATTGTTACAACTCAAGATGGCAATAACAGTGTGCTTCTTGCTACGAGACAAAGATGATGCCATCCTCGAAGTCGAGATTTAATACCCTACTGCGAGACGAAGATGATACCATCTGAAATATATATAAACAAGTAAACTATAAACTTCAAATGTACAATATAAGCAACAAAATTTAATAAAAATAATTTTATTTTATTATTAAACAATTTGTACCTTAAAATAGACTCTATCAAACTAAATTTACCTACAATTAGTACATTTACAGCATATGTTTCAATAATAGCTTACAACAAAATTTATATTTTCAAAATATTATTATAGAAAATTTAACCTATAAATTTTTACTAATGTATTTAATTCTTTTTTCACTTCAATAAAATTACAAATTTATTATTATTCATTAAAATCATATAAATAACTACAAACATTTTAAAATATTCAAATGTCTAAATTAATAATTATCTAATATTTTTATTTGCAGTCATTTATATTTTAAAATAACATTTTCAATTTTATTTAACTTAAAATTTTATATATTCATCTTTTTTTTCACTTAATTCCTTATTCTTTTACTCTAAATTTTTTCTCAAATTAAACCAATTTATAATTAAGTGATGAATAACTATATTTTTATCTTTCTTAATTTTAAATTATTTACTATTTCTTAATTATGTGACATAATATTTGTTGAAATATTATTACAAATTTAACAACGGCATATTTTTAATAATATAAATTTATTAATTAACATATTTCATTCTTGTTATTTCAATTTTATTTTGTAATAATTATTTTTATATTTTATTAACCTTATAATAATAATCACACATAATTCTTCCTCATATATTTATCTAATTTAATTCTTTTATATTTCTCAATTAATTTATATTTATATATTTTTCTAATTTAATTATTTTGTTATTTTAACATAATAATATTTGTATAACAATAATAATATCATCATTATTTTTACTTTTAAATACAGTTTTCTACATAAATAACAATAAAATTATAAATTTTAATTTAAATATTTTCCTATTTTTCTATTTTTCTATTTACCTATTTATCTATTTTCATATTTTTCTATTTTTTACATACATAAAATTATAACTAAAAAATTATAATATAAATTTTTACTAACCTTGGAGCTGAGAATCTGGACCAGCCTGGACCACACCGAAAGCCCTTTTTGTAGGATTGCAATCTTCCTGAAATGGGAACAAAAATGGATGCAAGAAATTATATTTTTTTCAAAAAAATATTCATATTTCTATCTAATATACAAAACAATCTTTTATTTTTACCTTCCAAAGTTTTAAAAATGGCAAAATCGCTCGCCCCTTCCTCTGCGTTTTTGCCAAAATTTTTAAAATTTTACACTTACAGAATGAAGAAGATGAACAGTACAAGCAGAAGCGGGAGAGATGGAGGGTCAAGCGGCGTGCCTCCTGCAAGATTGCCACGTGGACCAATCAGTGTGTGTCGGTCTTAAACATGCCGACACTGGTGTCGTTGAACAAAGTTCTGACACTAAAGTCGGATCTGAGCCATTCGACACACTGGAGAACTTTCACATGTGTAGTTCACAGCCATAGATCAGTGTTATCAAAATTCGTCCGTTAAAATTTTTTAAAGTGTCAGTTTTAAATTTGACGACACTATTAATTTAAAAAAAAATAAAAATTCCTGTGTCAGCTATGTTTCTTCTGACACTTCTTCCACCTGTCCTTCCCCGCCCTAGACACAAAATTTGTTATGAGAGAGCCCCATATGGAGAATTTGTTTCTCCATTAACCCTATGAGGGCAAAAAATCCCTAGGGATACACATCTCTCCTAAGTCAGGGGTAACTAGGTGTTGATTATGCTGTGGATTGTGGTTAGCCTTATTGACTGTGGTCAAGTATGTTGGCCCATATCAATTTCCTCCCAGCTTGGTGTTGTTTGTATATGACAATACTAAGGTGATTTATGGCTGGGGGAGTAGAACCTGTATTTTGAAAATGTGAAAAATACCATCTTTCTTTTCGTGCTTTTGGTTTCTAAACCTGCAAATGAAACGGGGGTTATTCCTTCGCTACCTTTTGCTTATTCTTTCCTTTTCATTCATTGTTTGCTGTTGCATTCTCCTCTTCCTTTGCTTCTAGTTTTTTGCACATTCAAGCCTTCATTCTTTCCTTCACTCACTCTAATTTGCTTTTCCAGGTAACCACCGTGCCCCTCTCTCTTTTTTTCCTTTGGTTTGATGGTTCATTTAGTAGAATGGGTTAAGGGTGGCAATGATAGTGTGGTGATAACAATGATTTTATGGAAATGTATGTGTCAACATTGCAGTAAGGGTGGAGATGGGTAGTAACTAATGATTTGCACAACCCCAGGAGCTCCGCCTTTGGTCATAGTGAAGATAGAGCCCCAAAAGTTTCTTTCAACAACACTGCCTTTTCTATTAAAATGCATTACTCACTTTAATAGTTAAACCTTCCTTTCTCGTTTACCATCTCGTTTATTGCTTGCGTTTTTCAACAAGAGCCACTTGGGGCGTTCTAATGAAGAATCTACATTTAGTTCATTTTAAAATAGAAAACAATTTGACCCAAAGAAAATGGAAAATAATTGAATTTCATCAATTTAATATTCCTGCCATTAGCATAATAAAAATGTTTGAGAAGACACTTGTAAAATCAAAATCCCTTTGCAAAATGTTGCAAGACTTGTTTAACGACCTATATGGTATATTGTTCTTCAAAACATTGTTAGAATTTGGAGCTTTATAGTTGAGCCATTGAGGTTCCTAAAAGAAAGGGACTTTCTCATATACCTTTGACACAGCAAAAAAGATGCAGAAAAAGAACAAAGCAAAGGCGGGCGGATTTCCCCTTCACGCTGGACAAGTTTGGCGACATAAACCAGTGTAATAACTTAGAAATTTGATTTCGCGATCCATAGTCTTTCACAATGGATGCTTGGTATTATGGAGAAATTCCCAATAGTGGTTTAGCATGTGGTCTGTGGGTATCACTTTATCCCACTTTCCTGTAACAAATATAGCATATGCATCCGCTGCATACCTGATTGAGAGAAACAGTGTCAAGCTATGAAGTACAAGAGATATATAGCACTACCTAAAAAATCAACAAAAGAGCACAATATCACATACTTGCCAATACCGTGCAGTTGAGTTACATGTGTCCAACTTTCATCCAAGTATTCCTCAGAGAACCGCTGCAACATTGCTGCCCTTTTGTGTTGAAAACCTAGAGTCTTTATTGTCCGTTCCAGTTCCTCTCTTGAAACTTTCGTACAAGATTTTGCATCTGGACATAACTCGAAAAAGTTTGACAAAATCTTCTTTGTCTGCATTTTGCAAAATAATCCATCTCAAAGCAGTACGTAATATCTTTGACCAAAAAAAGACAGTACATAATATCTGTATAATTTCAGTTTTGCAAAAAAGTATGTTTCAAGAAAAGCAGAAATTCAACTCTTGCTAATGACCACTGGTTCTAATGGCACAAGCTTCACTAGATTCTACCATGCACCAAAGAGAATAAGGTGCATCCATGAACTGGTGGAAAATGTCCTTTTTACTCCCAACTTTATCTCTCATTTTACTAATCTATTTCCTTGGCAGCAGATCGCGACACCATCATCACTGTTAACCTTCCTCTTACAATAATGGTATCACTCTGAAACAGAACATTTTCTATTGGAATCAAAATCACAAGCACTAACAATTCTATAACACTCTTTTTATCACAACGAAAAGTCATTAGTAAAGCATTGATACTCAAAATCTTATATGTCATTCAATTACAACAGTTTGTAACCATGGTATAGTCAAAATCGCGAGTTAACACGTAAAATCGTACGATTTTGTACGATTTTACGATCTGCCGCAGGTCTAACGATTCCGATCCTGGGCTGGAACTCGTTTTGGTGGGATCTCTGGGATCGCACGATCTTCCTTGTGAAATCGTGGAATCTACGATCCTGGGCGAGTTGTTTCTGCCCTATTTTTAGGGTTTTTTTTTCCCTTCTCTCTCCGATTTCTTGCCTCTTTGCAACCTGCGAAGTGCACTTCTCTTCTTCCTCAGCACAGCGAATCTGTTCATTCCATTCTCTACCCTTTCTCCTTCAAATCGCCTCTTTCTCCACCATTTTTGAACGCGACCAGGACTTTGCAACTTCTTTCCTCTGTTCTGCGATCCCTATAGTTCACTCTGATGACTATGTCTGCTCTGGCGACCTTGTCTGTGTCAACGACTCTGCTCTGCGCCGGCGACCTTGTCATAGCGGAGCGTTTTGCTGTGGTGGCCATCGCAGCTGTATTTGCAGCCAACGTAGCCAAATTCACAGTGCGGCTGAAGTAAAAGTTATTTAGGGTTTAGGGTTTTCTAAGGGTAAAAACAAGACTTCTCATCATTTAAAAATAATTTGGCTTTCCTTGTTTACCCTTAAAGCAGCTCTGTTTTAAGTTTCTTTAAGGATAAAATAGTCTTTAGGGTTTAGGATTTATGAAGCAGATTTTAGGGTTTTTTAATGGTAAAAACAAGACTTCTCATCATTTAAAAATAATTTGGCTTTCCCTTTTTACCCTTAAAGTGGTTCTGTTTTAAGTTTCTTTAAGGATAAAATAGTCTTTTATCATAATACAATACGTAATCTATCTTTTCCCTCTCTGTTTCTGTTCTCAGTATCTCTGTTTTGAGGTGGGGTGGCTCAATCCTCTCATTTGTCCTCTGGTCTTTATATTTATACTATTTTACATGTATTTATACAATTTTGTAGGATCTTCCTATTCGTGTTACGATCCTATGAGTTACAATTTTTCATCTCCTCTCCGATCCTACTTAGAATCTCGATTTTGACTACCTTGTTTGTAACAACATTTTAACAAATCAATTAATGAATTGAAACTATAATTTCTGGCTTGAATGTCTGAGCAATTTTCATGGTGAATCATTGCAACCAAACACGAAATTAAAGGTGCTGTTTCTGAACAGAATCCTACTATTCTCATCGGCCTTCACCAGTGGCTTCAATGCCTCCTTCAAGATGCTGATTGCGTCCATGACACCGATGTCCTCACAAGGACACCAATCTCCCACAATGTGAGGACATTGCATACAGTTGGTGTCTCCACAAAGAACGACCTTGACTCTGGTGAAAGGAAGCCATCGCTGATCACATCTGGAATAAGGCCGACTAGAAGTGTTTGCCATTGATCCAATCCTTGCTAGTGTATAACTACAAAGCTGCTGTGCCAATGAAGAACAAGGCCCAGGTGATGGTGTCAGCTCCAACAATGGTGACATTCAATGTCTCCAGTAGAGAGAAGCAGAATTTGTCAATGTTGCAGGACAATTGTTATGAAAGCAAATCAGAGAACAACAATGGAAAGAGAAAATTGCTCCCAGCAAAGGAGGATGCTCCTTGCCCAAGCCCAAGGCTTACAATATGTCAAAATAAATTCCCCCCTCCTCACAAGGACGCTCTGCAATATCTACACCTGATTCTCTTTTCTCTCCCCTCTAACAGTCTAACCAACCCCAATACATCATAACTTTCCTAACTAACTCATGTTCTGCTCAGTGGCCTTAGCTGTCTTGGCATTTCAGGAATATACTTGTAGGGCCTTAGTTTTAGGCTTATCCCACAGTGGGTCCAACATGCCCATCAATACCACCCTCTGTATAAATTGCCTTGTCCTCAAGGTAAAAATGAGGAAACTGGCCCCTGATATGGCTCTGCTCTTCTCAAGTAGCTTCTCTAATTGGCTTGGACTTCCAAAGAAATAACCATTCAGTCACTGTAGTTCCATGACAATTCAGCCCTCACGTAGCCAAAAAAGCTTTAGGTTCAACAAGAGTAACATCTTCATCCACTTCTAAACCCATAGGTAATTTGGCCTGCATTGGTTGCCTTCCAATTGCTTTTTTCAACTGTGAAATATGGAAGAGTAGGTATATTCGGGCTGTTTCAGGAAGTTGGACCAAATATGCCATTGCACCTATACGAGGCAAAATTTGAAATGGTCCATAGTAACGTGCTGATAACTCAAGGAAGGTTTGGAAATTATAGAAATCACTCTATGGTCTTCAGCAGTTTCCGAGAGCTTGGTTTGATAGGCTAACTCGGGTTGTGATGGGGGATGGATTCTTACAATGCCACACAGGCCACACCATGGTTGTAAAGCGCTCCCAAGTGGGCAAACTTGCTGTTTGCATCGTCTATGTCAATGCTATTATCATCAAAGGAGATGATTATGAGGAAATTAGAAGCCTGAAGCAGCACCTAGCCATGTAAGACTTGAGGTACTTTCTTGGGATGGAAGTGGTTAGATCTAAACATGGGTATTCATATCCCCAAGGAAGTATATCCTAGACTTACTGCAAGAAACTGGAAACTTGGGGTGCAAATCATCTAATACACCTATAGAATCTAATGTCCAACTAGGCATTAAGGAAGAGAGTCCTTGAACTAACAAGGAGAGGCATCAACGACTAGTTGGAAGACTGATTTATCTGACTAACTCGCCCAGACATTGAATTTTCTGTAAGCCTAGTAAGTAGGTTCATGAATGACCCCAGGGAAGCTCACATGAAAGCAGTTAACCGTATACTACAGTACTTGAAGAAAAATCCTGGCAAGGGGTTCTATTTTACGAAAAGCACAGAAAGTAATGTTGAAATTTTCACAGATGCTGACTGAGCTAGATCTATATGCTATCAGAAAACAACTGGTGGGTATTGTTCATTTGTTTGGTTAAATCTAGTTACTTAGATAAGTAAAAAACAGTCAGTGGTAGGAAGGAGCGATGCAGAAGTAGAGTTTAGATCTATGGTTCACAAAATTTGTGAAGGAATATGCTTGCAACCGATGTTGTAGGAACTGAAGGTCTCATCTCAGCTCCCTATGGGATTACTATGTGATGATAAAGAATCATGTTCATCATGATAGAACTAAACATGTAGAAATCAATTGTCACTTCATCAAGGAAAAGGTTGATGGTGAAACGTTAAAGCTGGAACACACATTCTCAAGCCCTCAAACTGCATACATTCTGACTAAGGCTCTAGCCAAAGCTCTATATGAAAATCTAAGGTGCAAGTTGGGCATAATTAATATCTATGACCCAGCTTGAGGAGGAGTAATTACAGTGGTTCCTAATCAACTTAATTACATATCAAATCAGACAGATTTCTATATACACGGAAAGAATGGTAACTACATTAATAGTAATACAAAGATTCTCAACAATTATGATATGCAATTTTCCAAGCATAAAATAGCAGTTGTTTCAGTGAGACTACAAGGAGATTTCATAGCTTGAAAGTTATTGAATGAGGTTTACATGAATAAGTACATATTGCAGGAAATTAAGACATTGACTAAATAGTTCAAACTCCCAAATCAGAATCTACATACTATATTAGGAATGTAGCTAACGTTGACAAGTCAAAAAGGCAAAGACAAAAAATAAATTTGAATTGTACACAAAACTATATGCTATTCTGTGAATACATAGATTTGTAATATTTCTTTCACGTGATAGGCATATATAGGACACCAAAACTAGTGCAAATCAAGCACATCACTAAGATGTGTGTGTGTATTTGTAGAGAGAGAGAGAGAGAATAAAAGATTCATTTTAACGATATTAGCATTACTAAACACTTGGGACTAATGTCAAAGAAAGGAAACCATAACAAGGAAATTAAATTAGTCATCAACAAGATTTTATTAGAAAGCCACAATTCTGGCAGTTAACACAAGATCAGCATAATAAAATATTAACTGTTGAGCTCTTGTTTCAAAAATGGCAACAGGGCATTGCTTTCCAAAGAAATAACAAAGTAACCCACAAACATTTTAGAAAGCCAAAAACAAGAACTATAAAGCAACTTACAGAGCCTTTTAATGTAGATCAGCAGATGAAAGACACTGTTCACAACTTCACATTAGCTACAAATATAAGATTGAGAAACATTCTTGTTCCTCCAAACAGTACTCTTCAAAATAGAGAGATACAATTGCATGGTATATGAAATTCAAGGCCAAAAGTAAAACATTTGCCTAGAATAGGGCCAAACTGCAGAATAATTATCCAAAAATCAAAGCCTCCAGATGCTATTTAATCAGAAGGTGAATTAATTGAATGTACCTGATCCCCAGTAGTCCGATTGAGAAGCATACATATAACCAACACCCTCCATGGATCATGAACATGACCCTCTTGAATGAGACCAAATTCAGAATGTGGAGGGTTCCATGTATTATCAGGAGTTTTTCTTTTGTAAGCCTCATCCCACTTCTGAGAAGCAGAAAGAGTTCTTTTAACTGCTTCAGACTGACTTTCCTTATCCAACGGTTTGACATTAATCTTCTTCCCACTATCATTACAAAAATAAGGAGAAACATATCTAACACCATGGGCAACACTTTTCTGAAGCAGAGGTTTTGTCTTCTTGGGTTTAGCTTTGCTGGTTTCAGCATCATTTCCATTCTCTTGCAGTGTATTTGCAACAACTTTCTTCTTCTTCTTCTTCTTCAAATTAACCATTCCATTTTCAATTACATTTCCATCCTCTTGCAGCTTTTGTTCAAGGAGCCTAACACCAGAACTAGGTAAAGCATGGAATTCAACCTCACTGCCATAACATGATCCAGCAGCAACCTTCTCCGCATTCTCACTTAGAAAGAAAGGAGAAACTTTATGAATTTGAGCAAGCTCTGTTGTCTCATGCTCTTTAGATGTTTTCATGCCTGTGTATTTAAAATTTTCAATTGCAATTTTGTCTCCATATGTACTCCTTAAAGCAGCAGAATCAAAGTCCTTTTCATAATTAAGTATGTTCGCATTAACTGTCTTCTCACTGTCATTGTGAAAATAAGGAGAAACCTTTCGAACCTTGGCATGCTCCTCAGCAGTTTTCCAACTACAGTATTTGCTCTTCTTTAATTTATCTTTAATGCTTTCAATTTTATTTCCATTTTCTTGCAGTTCATCCATTGTGTCTCCAGAAGTAGCTGTTAACACAACAGAATCAGCATGAATTTCAAGTCCCTGTTGCTTAATGTTTTTCCCAACATTGTTTTCCACCACTTTATCCTTAATGAAATTTCCAAAGGTATGCAAAGCAATGGATTCAGACTTGATTTCCTCAGCCAATGGTTGGACATAAACCTTCTTCCCACAATCATTATGAAAATAAGGGGAAACATATCTAACACCATGGGCAACACTTTTCTGAACCAGAGGTTCTGTCTTCTTGGGTTTAGCTTTGCTAGTTTCAGCATCATTTCCATTCTCTTGCAGTGTATTTGCAACAACCTTCTTCTTCTTCTTCTTCTTCTTCAAATTAACCATTCCATTTTCAATTACATTTCCATCTTCTGGCAACTTCTCTTCAAGGAAGCTACCACAAGTACCAGGTAAAACAATGAACTCATTCTCACCGCCAGAACATGATTCAGCACCTACCTTCTTCTCATTGTCACTTTGAAAGAAAGAAGAATTCTTTTGAATTTGAGCGCGCTCCACAATCTCATGTTTTGTAGATGTTTTCATGCCTGCTGTGTATTTAAAATTTTCAATTGCGACAAATTTGTCACCATTAGTACCCATTAAAGCAACAGAATCAAAATTACTTTCATTATAAAGTGCTTCCACATTAACTTCCTTCTGATGGTCATGCCGAATGTAAGGAGAAACCTTTCGGACCATAGCATGCTCCTCCACAACTTTCTGATAATTGGACTTTCTCTTCCTTTTGGATTTAATTTTAACAGTTTGAATTTCATTTCTGTTTTCCTGCAGTTTATTCTCAAAGAAGTCTCCAGAAGCAGCTGCTAACACAACAGTATCAACATGGCTTTCAAGTCCTTGTCGTTTATTCTTTTTTCCACTATTAATTTCTTTTGGTTTATCATCAATGAAATTTCTAATGGTAGGTAAAGCAATGGACCCAGATTTGCTTTCCATATCCAACAGTTCAAATTTGTTCTTCCCACCACCATTATGAAAATAAGGAGAAATATATCTAGCACCAACCTGGGCTATATTTTTCTGAGCCACAGATTCCATCTTCTTGGATTTCACGTTACAAGTTTCAGCATCATTTCCATCACCAACCTGAGCTATATTTTCCCACACCACAGATTTTGTCTTTTTGGGTTTAACATTATGAGTTTCAGCATCGTTTCCATCCTCCTGCGGCTTATTTGAAAAGGCCTTCTTCTTCTTCTTCTTCTTTTTGAATTTAATTGTTCCGTATTCAAATTTGTTTCCATCATCTGGCAGCTTATCTTCACGAAAGCTACCACAATATGAGTCTACGTCACCCTTCTTCTCATTGTCACCTTGAAAGAAAGAAGAAAAATTTAGAATTTGATCATGCTCAACAGGCTCTAGCTTCTTGTATGTTCTCTTACCTTTGGATTTAATCTTTTGAACTGCAATTTTATTTCCACTCTCTCCCCCCCTCTCTTGTGCAATGTATCTGCAAGTACCCTTTAAAGCAACAGAATGAAAGTCATCTTCATGATCAAGTGCTTCTACATCAATTGTCTTCACATTGTCATTCTGAAAGAAAGGAGAAACCTTTTGAACCTTGGAATGCTCCTCGACATTTTTATGACTTCTGGATTTTTTCTTCTTCTTTGATTTAATGGTAATGGTTATGAATTCATTTCCATTCTCTTTCAGGTCATGCTCAAGGAAATCTCCAGAAGCAGCAGTTAGACCAACTGAATCAACGTAACTTTCAAGTCCACCATCATCTTCCTTCAGTTTATCCCTCATCATGTTTCCTTCAGACTTGATTTCCTCACCCAATGGTTGGACATTAATCTTCTTCCTACAGTCGTTATGAAAATAAGGGGAAACATATCTAACACCCATCTGGACTATATTTTTATGAACTTCAGGTGTCATTTTCTTGGATTTGAATTTACTGGTTTTGCTTTTGGAGTCATCACCATAGGCAACTTCTTTCTTCTTTCTCTTCTTGGATTTAATCTTCCCATCCCCCCCCAGTTTATCTTCAATGAGACCATTCTCACTGCCATAACAACATGATCTGACATCATCCTTCTTTGGCCTTCTCTCCTTTTTGGACTTGATGTTTTCAACTGCAACTTTATCTCCATTCGCCTCCCCATTGTCCTGCACAAATTTGTGAAACTTACAAATGTGGGTTTGATTGAGCTTATTTTGAAGAAATAATTGCTATATTTTTTTTTCCTATCAGCTTCCTTTGAGTGCCTTAAGGGAAAAATATAATTTATTCCAAAAAATAATAAAAAAATAATTTAAAGTATGTTTATTTTCTTTCTAAAAAACAGTTATCGGTTACTATACTTATTTTTAAAAACAGAAAAATGTTTTCAAAACAACATGCTCTTAATCTTTGAATACTTTATCACTAAACATGCAGTCAAAGTCTAGGTTTGACAAACTTAAAGTTCACTTACTGTCTTTTTCCCATGGTCATTCTGAAAGTATGGTGAAATCTTTGGAGCCTCTGCAACCATTTTCGATGTTCTCTTGCTATTTCCAGTATCAATTTCATTGTAATTTCTTTGCAAATCATGTTCGGTCAATCTCTTTCTCTTCTTGTCACTTTCTTTGTTCTTCCTCTTTGGCTTCAAATTTTCTTCTGTCGGGGCATACAGCGCTAAAATGCATGATGGACGCTCCATTCTCTTACAGATATACTGCTAATAATAATAAATATATACATGAAATTGAAAAGGTCCATTATGGAAATGTCAATAATACTGTACCCACCGCACTAGAAAGACCCAAACACTAGGAATTTCTTTTGTTTTTCCTTTTTCAAGTAAAGTGTGAAAGGAAAAGAACAAAAAGAAACAGAATAAACAATGAAGCAGAAAAGGAGGAAGTAACTTACCAATTACTACTGTGAAGGTTAGGGCAAGGAAGCGGTGAAAGAAGGAAGACAACAAAATTTCTCGGTAAAAAGTAGTCTTATGTTGTTGGCAAGTGAAGCGATTATTATTCACCCTATTTAAAGGAGAAATTGAGGGACCAAATGACCGCGAAAATCGAAAAATGCGAAACCACTTTCTTTGGAATGAATCACCAATTTACTTTTCTTTTTCTAACCCTTGTTTATTTCAGGACTTTATTTTATACAAATTTCATTTTAATTTCTGATTTTTAAACTACCTTATAAAAATTTAGTAATACTAAAGATTGAAATAAATAATATTTACAAATTTAAAGATAAAAGTTAATAAAACTTATAATTTTAGGAATTAAAGTAATAATATTTTTGTAAAATTATAATTTTTGTTATCTAAATTTAATTTTTAATATATTCATTTAACTATTTTGCAATATAATTATCTAAGTTATTGAGTATCAAAGTTAATATGACATCTAGGGATGAAAATAAACTAGACTTCACTCTAAACAGCTTGACCTGTAGCATAATTATTAAGCTTGAGTCTGACATGTTATCTGTTAAAGGTTTTATTTTAGACCTGACCTGGTCTGACCTGAAGCCTGTTATAAAAAAAAATATTAATAAAAATATAAATATTTTATTATCAAATTAGTTTATATATTTTTCTAATTTCTATCTATGTTATTAATAATTATTAAATAATTATAATAATATTTATATAATTTTAAAATATTATTTAAGTATTAATTATAAATATTTTATATTAATAAAATTTATATTTATATTTTTTATTTTTTAAAAATTATATAAATAGTAAATAATTTAGTTTTATTTTATAAACATATTTTTTTTGTTTAAAGACATTTTATATTCAACAAATAAAGTTATAGTAAATACATAAAATTAATAAAAAAATATATAACATTCACACAATTTCTTGAATAAATTAAAAGAAAATTATTATGTTTTAAAAAATAAATAAATTTAAATATAATGCAATATATACATATAATAACAATAATAATAACTATTGAATCAAAAAAATAATAACAAAATATTTAATTTCAATTTGTTTCATTAATTTATTATTTTAAATTAATAAATAAACATAAAATTAACTACATTATAACATTAATGTAATATAGAAAATATTACTCATACAATAAATTAAAATATATAATTATATATTACATATAAATTGATAAATTAACTAATAATTTAATTAAAATATGTGCAAGTTACAAAAATATATATTATTATATAATTTATTTATAATTATATTATTTGCTACATGGTCTGATTATATATATATATATATATATATATATATATATTATAATAAATTTTTTATTTTATTTTCTTATCATTTTTTATAAATTTTTTCTTTCAAATAAAATATAATTTATATTTAAGCAATTTCTATTTATTATAAATATAAAAAATTATAATATAATATATTAATATAATAATTAAATATTAATAATAATAAAATTAAAAATATGAAAAATTTATTAAAAAATATTAATATTTTATTTTTAAATTTTAATTCGTTTAGTTTTAATCGTGTCTTATTCTTCTTCAGCTTATTTAAATATAACAAATATAATAATTTATAATTAAATAAGTTTATTTTTTAAACACGTGTAATCGTGTATAAATATTTTTAGTTTTGAATATAATATAATTTTTATTTATTATAAATAAAAAATTATAACATAATATATTAATATAATAATTAAATATTAATAATAATAAAATTAAGAATATAAAAAATAAATTAATATAATATTATTATTTTATTTTTAAATATTAGTTTCTTTAATTTTGATTGCGTTTTTGAAGATTTTGCTACTCTTCAGCTTGTTCAAACAAATATAATAATTTACCTTATATTTATATTCAAAGTAACTATAGATAATAATAAAATAAGAATAAAAAATAAGTGCGATAGCAGCTTTGGCTCAGAGGTATGTGATTGTGCTAGGTTTGTGATTTATTGTGATTTAGTGAATACAATCAATGAAATTTTTTATTATAAATTTTATATCAATAAAATTGCTTAAGAAAAGATAATAAAATAAAATAAAATTTGTGTAATATTAAAAATTTATAATGATTGTTGTTATTGAATAATATTAATAAAAATATAATTATTTTATTATCAAATTAATTTATATATATTCAAATTTTTATTTGTGTTATTGATAATTATTAAATAATTGTAATAATTTTTATATAATTTTATAAATAATTTTTAAAATATTATTCGAGCATTAATTATAAATATTTTCATGTTATAAAATTTTTATATTTTTATTTTTCTTAATTTAATTTTATAAAATTATTAAATTATTAAATATTTTAATTATTTTTTATAATAATTATATTTTGTTTGTATAAAGACATCTTATATTCAATAAATAAAATCACAGTAAACATACAAAATTGATAACAAAATTATAAAATTTATTGAATCAGCTAAAAAAATTATTATATTTTAAAAAATAAATAAATATTGTCATTATAAAAATTGTAAATAAAAAATATTTATATTATAAAACTCATAGATACAGAAAAATAACATATGAGCATAAAAAGAATTATTAAAATTTATATTTAAATTAAAATAATTTATATTTCTAAATTTTTATCTTAATTAAAAAAAATGTGATAAAACTTAATATAAAAATTTAAACTTAATGTACTATATATATATATATATATATATATATATATATATATATAATGACAATAATAATAACTATTAAATTAAAAAAAATAATTACAAAATATTTAATTTTATTTATTTCGTTAATTTATTATTTTAAATTAACAAATAAACGTAAAATTAACTACACTATAACATTAATGTAATATAGAAAATATTACTTATACAATAAATTAAAAGACATACTTATATATTATATATAAATTGATAAATTAACTAATAATTTAATTAAAACACGTGCAAGTTACAAAAATATATATTATTATATAATTTATTTATAATTATATTATTTATATTATTTGTTACATGCTCTGATTATATATATATATTATAATAATTTTTTTTTATTTTGTTATCATTTTTTTTTATAACTTTTTACTAAAATATAATTCAGATTTAAGTAATTTGTATTTATTATAAATAAAAAGAATTATAACATAATATATTAAATTAATAATAATAAAATTAAGAATATAAAAAATATGTTAATATAATTTTATTATTTTACTTTTAAATTTTATTTTGTTTAGTTTTGATTACGTCATATTCGTATTCAAAGACTTAACTATTCTTTAAATTGTTTAAATATAATAATTTATTATTAAATAAATTTATTATTTAAAAAGTGTAATCTTGTATAAATATTTTTAATTTTTAATAGAATATAATTTCTGTTTATTATAATTATAAATAAATAAAATTATAACATAATATATTAATTTAATAATAAGAGAATTAAGAATATAAAAAATAAATTATTAAATAACTTAATTATTTAAATATATTTTGACAGCTCTATTTTTAAATGATATTATATATATATATATATTTATACAAGTCGGCCTTTCAGGCTTAATAGGATTTATAAACAGCTCAGACTTGCCTTATTTACTTAAACAGACTTTAAAAAAAGTCTAAGTTTAGTTTGTTTATTAAAAAAGTCAGGCTAGGCCAGGCCTAAACCAGGCCAGGTCACAGGGCCCTGTCAGGCGGCCTGACCTATTTTCATCCCTAATGACATCAAAGTGCATGATTGAATTTTTTTTATAACATCTACTAATGCTATTACATGAATAGGAATTTATTTTTGACGTAAACATGATTAATTAGGTTGGCACTTTTAGTGTTCTTTAAGTGACTTCCTTTGAGTGCAAGGAAATATAGTTCAACACAAATACTCTTGACCCAGTGACAATCCAGTTCCATTTACATGACTTAGTTGTCCCTTCAGCTATTAGTTATTCAACTAGAATTGAGTTTTAGACTATAAATATATTTGTAAAAAATACTATAAGATATGTTTATTTGTAACACATATCATTTGATTCATCCATCCTATGGAGCTAATTAACTGAATATCAAACATCCTTTGTTAACCTCCTTAGATCTGAATGAATTTAAATATATATCCAAAAAAATTTATATTCAAATATAATATTCTCATCCATGCACATAAGGTAAAATATGTCATATTTATAGATAAATTCAATTATACGTTTTTGTCTTTGAAATCTATTGCAGAGAAATTTAAACAAGTGCTAAAACAATATAACAATCCAAAATAACCACACAAGTCTTGAGGCTTCATCATCATCCTAAAAATTGATCTCGATATCCATGAAAGTTTAGAGAATCAACATTTTTTAGGTATGTAAACACTAGAAAGAAAGGAGGAACCAACAACAAATAATGCAACAAGAAACAAAGAGAGTGAAATGTGATGACAAGTATCAAAATTCAGGAAAAGAAATAAATGAATCATAGTTCAATCACACAACACAATCATCAACTCTAATGTTAATACAATGCAGAATAATATGCATGCTGAAAATCTATGTGTGCAATTGTCAGTGGTCTAACTCAAAAGTTCTTAACAAAACTTTTCATGTAACTCTTGGATCCACACCTATCCTTAGAAGTTGTTAAGAGTTTCACTAGCTAATCAAGTATTCATATAATGGTGGGGACTTGAATTTCCAACCACTGCAACTAGCTCCATCAACATGATATGTCTCAAGAGAAAGTAGAGATAAAAGAGCACTGTGCATAAACTAACAGTTAGAGCCCTTTGCCAATGTTACTCATTAGACTATTAGAGAGGGTTAAACCTAATTATCCCTTAGGTCATCATGGTGTCCATTCATACTATACACTTCACATCATATCATGATACAATGACTTCCTTTCTTAAGGGGAAGAGACATTTATACCTATTTGTCATCTAAATAGTCTAAATTTTATTCATTATACATTTTGTTGCACCATTGATGTAGACAATTTCTTTTATGGCTATGCCTTCTTTTCAAATATTCGTCTTATAAATTGAGATTAGCAAGTACCCATTCTTATGCTTTCAAGCATGGCTTTTAGCAACTTCTGATTCATCATCCTTACTCTTTTCCTTAATATTTATTTCATTTGAGTTCTAATTGCTTTTTTTTTTTTTTCAAAAAAATATGGTTTTGACACAAAACTTCAAAATTATTTATTAATCTATCTTCAAGTCTTGGAGTAAAGCGATAACTCACTTAATAATCATAGTATGATTTGCATGTTAATACTCTTTGCGTTTTCACTAACACCTATGTTCTTATAATGATCTTGGTTCATGAATAGGGATTCTCAATCCACCTACCTATATATCCATGTACACAATGTATGCCATCACACACAATAGACTACTAGTACCAAAATGTCCTTTATTAAGTTCATCATTTCAAAATTTAAAATTAGCTATGTGTATTCAAATCAAGTAAATATAATTAATAGGTTCAAATCATAAATCAAGCATTTAGAATTTCAGGGTTAAGGGAATCATATCCCATTTATCTCAATTTCTTTTACTAGCTACTTAAAAATATCTTCTCCCCTTACTGGTTTTTATGTGAGTGTTAGTGTTTGCTAAATGCACGGAGTGTCCAAGTGGTTCCTATTTAAAAGAAACACTTATATTTGACAAGTTAGGAGTACCAACCATCAATATCTTCTAAATCAACTCAATCAAAATAGAATATGTGGCTAAGTGTTTATTTCCCTAAAGTTTAGAATTTTGTCAATTGTTACACTTACCAATTTAGGTGTAACCAAGAGCAAAGTTGTTCAATTTGAAAATGAGATGGCTTCTTAGAAAGCTACAACTACAAAGAATATCATCAATTAGTTATCTTGTAGATTTAGAGTTAGAATTCTTCCAAAAATAAAAATCAAGGGGCTTTCTTGCAAAGAAGTCCAAAATTGAGTTATGTAAGATGTTTTGTACATAACTAATTGTTATTTTATTAACAAGCTCATAGGTACTTTATATTTTCTTGTCTTTTTGTCTTGCATGATCTTTGAGGGTAATAATTTAAATAAAAGACTGTTAGCATTGCATGACTAATAGTTGTTAATAATGATATATGAGTGATTGACAATCATAAAGAAACTAAAATTAGAATTAGGTTAAAAGAGAACATAAAGACGCATAAAGGTGAAGTTATAAGCCCTAGGCTCTCGTTTAGTTAGTAATCAAAAGTGTGCCTTTTCATTGTCATAAATCAAGACTTTCTTAGTACTTGGAAACAATCCTTGTGAAATAATATTTTGACAACTTAATTTAAAATCCTTCATTACTTTTCAAGTGGTACACTTGTCCATAAACAAGTTTTTGGTGCCGTTGCCGGGAATTGTTTTTCTAATATTAAGAGAATCTCTCATATTTGGTTGATTTGAATAATTTTTGTCTTATTTTTTTAGTGTATGCTTACTTGCTCTAAGTTTTCTACAACTTTAATCTAAAAATAGAAAGAACTATGCAAAGATAGAGGAAGAAGTTGAGAGGATAAAGAATGGCTAAGGGAAGAAAAGCCATTAAGGATTACATGACACCCACTACAGGAAGTGTCCCCAAAAGCATTGTGGCCCTTAATTAGAGGCCAACGACTTCAAGTTGAAGTTGACACTGATCACCATGGTTCATAACTCTATATAGTTTGAAGGAATCCCTAATAAAGACCCCAATCTCCATTTCACAAAGTTCCTTCAACTTACTAATACTATCAATTACAACGAGGTCACCAACGATGCTATTCGATTTTTCCTTTTTCCCTTCTCAGTATCTGAAAAGGTAAATGCATGGTTTACCTCACTGTTGACTAATTCCATCACAACATGGGAGGATCTCACTTAATAATTTTTGGGAAAATATTTTTCCTCCATCAAGATCCTCTATGCTTATGGCAAAAATATCTAGCTTCCAACAACATGAATCAGAATTCCTATTTGAAGCATAAGAGCAATTTGGAGAACTTTTGAGGAGATGCCCTCACTATAGCTTTCTTGGGTAGAGACAGATGCAGATCTTCTATAGTGGTCTATCAATCTCTAATAGGGGCACAATTGATGCAGCAAGAGGAGGGACTCTCATGAGAAAAGACTTAGACAAGGCAGATAATTAGTAGATGAGATGACATATGCTAGCTTTCAGTAGCACATAACTAACTCTTACAATACTAAAAAGAAAGAGATTGCCCCAATCTACCAAGAAAAGAGTAGAAATCCACTAATAAATCAAATTGTAACCCCTCACAAAGCAATTAGAATCTTTAATTAGAGTCCAAGACCAACCTGCGAGATCTCTTGCAAGTCCAGAATTTGAGCAAGAAGAGACAAATATTTTGGGCAACAACTATAACTTAGGGTGGCAAAATAACAACACAACCTCTTGAGAAAACTGCCAAAGGAGTCAAAATACAAACTCCTATCGCCTTCCCCATATGCAAAACGAAGGAGAGAAAACAAAAAGTAAGGAGGCTCCTTGATTTCAATATAACTTTTAAGAGCAAATGAGATAATATGTGCATAGGTTCAACAATGGAATATCAAAACTTGAAGCCCAAATGAAACAACAAATTAAAAGAAAGGATAAAAGGTTTGCAAAAATCAAATCTAAAATGAGATCTCAGCCCTCAAAGATTGAATCACAATTAGAGCAAATCACTAATCTTGTAAGTCAAAGAGCATTGGGGACATTGTCAACTCAACCTAAACCAAATCCTAATGAGGAAGCCAAGGTCATCACTCTTAGGAGCGGGAAGAACCTTAAAACAATGTAGATCAGCAAGCAAAACACATTTGTTCTTACTGATAAGCATGCTCTAGCATAGTTCACTTTGTGCTCTTTCCGGTGGAAGATCTTCTTCACCTCAACCAGTCACCTCTGGGCTCCTTCGGGATCAAACCCTCCCTCAAACTTAGGAGGATTGTGCCTAGTGAAGGCAGACAACTCTCGCTATTCAGTTGGCTCCACATCTTGATTGTGCACCAAGGCCTCCTGAACTTGGTTCATTTGCTCTAGGAGGTCATTGGTGACTCCAGCTCCTCTACCTCTACCGGCCATTCTAATCTAGCTAGCAAACAATGCAACAAACCATATTCTAACTCATCACATTAAAAATCAACATTCATAATTCAAGCAAACAACACTTATCAGCGCACAGCTTGGACGCTTTAGCTCGATAACCCAGTCTGATTTGGATGAACTGCTTTGATACCAAAATTGTAACACCTTAATTTAATTTTCTAAATAAATAAATTTTGCAAAATTTGGGAATAATAAAAATTTGCATTTAAATAATTCCCAACACATAGTTTTATTAAAGTATTTCAAAATAAAGGAAATGATTACAAATTTATATCAAATGACTGCTATAGGACTAATTCAAATACATCATATTTTCAGAATAATATTCTAAGTCCTATAGCAGTTCCATCCATCCCTTCACTGAATTTGGTGCTTATTGTCTTGGTCACTTGAAAAATAAATATAAGGGTGAGTACTCTACACTATCAAACACACACAAGTATAGAGACTCACCGTGCATGCTTCCACACATTCCCAACATAATTCAAATCATTCATTGGAAAACATAAAATAAAAAAATTTGATATTCCATTTTCATTATACACAGGTGCGCTCACTGCACCATCAAACAAGCCACACACAGATGCGTTCACTGCATGTAGCCACGCTCACTGTGGTACTGTGATCACAGTTTCCTGATGCCCTTAACTTCAAGGACTTACTTAGTTTCACACCATGGATGGTCGTTGGATAACTCCCGCCTCACAGATACAATGTGTGCGGTCATGGGCCCCTTGGCAAAAGTGTTGGTCAGAGGCCATGTCAGGAGGAGAGTGTGTGGCCTGTGGTGCACCCACGCTCACTGTTGGTGTCACCACCACCTTTTATTTCCCAAGGTATTTCTACCGCCTCCATCTTCCATACCCTCAATGTATCACTGAACCATTCATAGCTTTCAACATATTCAGACATAATCACAATCGCATCTAACATGCCATTCACACGTATTTTCCACCATTCAAATTATTCAACATCAAGCGATGGTATGCTAACACACAATTTCATCCACAATCTCAATCATATTACAATATTCACTTTTACCCACGACACGTATGCCCAATGAGATAGAGTAGAGTCCCTTCTTACCTTGGATTGAAGATCCAACATGAAATCTATGATGAAAGTGCTCTCCACACGAACTTTCGTCCTAAGTATAGGGGAAAACACTATGAGAAACTGAGAAATCAAAGAAAGGGATGAAAACCTGAAAACCCTAACCCATAAACTTACCTCCAAATGTGATTTTAACCTTCGATTTAGCTCACAAACGACTTTGGAAGCAATTTAATCAGTGAAATAGGGTGGAAGGTTGAGAGAATAGAAGAGATTTTGAAGAGAAGAAAGGAAAAAATGAGTTTTTCAAACCCTAAACCCCTTAAATTCCCTTCTGATTACGACACTCTTGCTGCAGTGAGACATCTCTCGCTATAGGGAGATTTCTTCTCGTTGCAGCAAAAATTTCAGACAATTCTGCACTCTAATTTCTACAGAATCGCTCTACAACGAGACCCTCTCGTTACAGCGAGATTGTACCCTGAAATGCACACTCCACTATCGCCCTTTCGCTGTAGTGAGGGAACTTTCGCTATAGCGAGAACGCGACAGTTTCACCTCTTTTCTCCCAGTGCTTTCTCGCTACAGCGAAAATTCTCTCAGTACAACGAGAACGGCACAATTTCATGCTTGTCTCCCAAGACCTTCTCGCTATAGTGAGAATCCACTTGATACAGCGAGAACACTCTGTAGCACACACTTAGCCTATTTTCAATCCAACCTAGTCATATTCAAAAATTTCAATTCAACCACAAACCAACACATATGCTCATACTCGTATTCACACATTCATATAAGTCCACATCATCTCACACACACACACACACACACATATATATATATTGAACATACAAATACATGAAAATCCACATATACACTTATATTAATATATTAAAATACTATTACAAAATCTGGCGCATTACAGTATGCAAAATTCCTTAAGGAGATGTTGAATAACAAAAGAAAGTTAGAGGAGTTTGAAATTGTAAAATTAAATGAAGAATGCTCAACAATTCTATTAAAGAAGTTACCACCAAAGCTCAAAGATCTTGGAAGTTTTACTATTCCTTGTACCATAGTTTCTAACACTTTGATAAGGCACTCTTTGATTTAGGTGCTAGTATTAATCTAATGCATCTCTATTTTCTTATATGGTTAGATATTGAAGAACCCAAACCTACATATGTTTCTTTGCAGTTAGTCGACTGATCAAATAGTGGAAGACTTTTGATTAAAGTACACAAGTTTATCTTCTCAACAAATTTTACTATGCTTAAAGATGGAAGAGGATGATGAGGTGCCCATCATCCTAGGGAGACCATTTTTAGTCATAGGGAAAACCATTATAGATGTCCAACCAGAGAAGCTCACACTATTGAATGATGAGGAAGTAATTTTTGAAATTTTTGATTCACTTAAACACTCATGTAGCTTTGACTCATGTAACTTTGTGAGCTCCATGGGTACTATCTCTCTCTCCCTAAATTAAATTCTAAATAGATAATAAATGACTTAATAGAAGATACACTGGAAAGAATACTCACACTTGACAGAGAGACTTTGCAAGAATCTGAAGAAGTGCTAGATGGGATTCTTGAGTTAAATAGTGGAACTTCAGAAAGGTGGTTTGAGCGTAGACCCTTTGAAGATTTGGGATAACTTTCCTAGTAGAAACCCAAACCATCCATTGAAGAGCCCTCAAAATTGGATCTTAAATCTCTCCCTTCAAACCTTAAATATGCTTTTCTTTCTCCTCTATATCACTTACCTGTGATAATTTCTTCTAACTTGACAAATGTTTTGGAGAAGAAACTCTTGAGAGTCTTATGAGAAAACAAGGAAGCCTTTGGATGGAGCATTTATGACATTAAGGGTCTTAGCCCCTTCATATGCACCCATAAGATTCACTTAGAGGAAGAGTTCAATCCAAAGGTGCAATCTCAAAGGAGACTCAACCCCAATCTAAAGGAAGTAGTAAAAAAGGATGTAATTTAATTGCTAGATACAAATATTATTTTTTCTATTTCTGATAGTCCTTGGGTGAGTCTTGTGCAAGTTGTACCAACAAAACAAAGGACTAAGGTTATGCAAAATGAACAACAAGAACTCATCATCATAACGAAGGTAACTAGGTGGTGTATGTGCATAAATTATAGGAAGCTCAATGAGGTCACTCGAAAAAACTGCTTTCCTCTTCTTTTTGTTAATCAAATGTTAGAAAAGTTAGATGGACACGAGTTTTATTTTTGTTTGGATTAATATTCTGGTTATATGCAAATACCTGTGGCCTTAGAAGACCAAGAGAAAACTACCTTTACTTGCCCTTATGGTACTTTTGCATACAAACATATGCCTTTTGGATTATGTAATGCCTTTGTTACTTTTCAAAGATATATGATGGCCTTATTTTCTGATTCATTAGAAAACTATATTGAAATTTTTATGGATGATTTTTCTATATATGGTACCACCTTTGATAGTTGTTTGCATAATTTAGATTTGGTATTACAAAGGTGTAGAAAGGCTAACTTAGTTTTAAATTGAAAAAAATGTTAATTCATGGTTGATGAGTGCATTGTTTGGGGCACAAAGTATCTTGTAAAGGCATTGAGGTAGGCCTTGCTAAGATAGAAGTTATTGCTAAACTTCCTCCCCCTACATGTGTTAAATCTATTAGAAGCTTCCTAAGAGATGTAGAGTTTTACAGGAGGTTCAATTTTTATTTTTTTTTTCAAAAATAGCTAAACCTCTTTCTGATCTACTAGTCAAGGACATAGAATTTATGTTTGATGAGATATGTTTATTTGCTTTTGACACTTTAAAGAAAAGGTTAATTGATGCAGTTGTGATTATAGCTCGTG